TTACACTTGTTAGAGTCGCATCTACTTAGCTATCCTGTGAAATATATAGGCAATGATAGTGGATTATATCGAAAACTGCCCACTTTTGATAAATTTTTCCGCATTTAGATTGCCCATCGAAGAGATTGAATCTCTTATTTTACTAGATACAAGTGCTTTTATCATTTATATTCAGTGTTATCCATAAGATAAATTGGCCGAAAAGCTTTTGGATTGCCTCGTCTTATGGTGCAAAATCTTAAGAAAAGACTTAATCGTTTGATTTTGTGAGGCAAATTTTAATTACGTCAGGTTCGATGAGATCGGTACTATGAGAAATTTGTCCAAGAGTCATCATTTGGAGATTGAACTAAAGATGAATTCCAATTGCCACCTCGTTTTCTTGATAATTCATTCTTAAACAGGCGAAGGCAAATAATCTCAGCGACGATTCTTTTAAAGAAATTTGAAATTGCAATTAAATTTCGAAGAAATTTCTTAAAATTTTTTTGGCAAAATTTTTAAAAAAATTCTTAAAAGTCTATTGCAATCGGTACGAAACTCAGCATTCATTTTTTTTAAATTTTTAATAATGTTAAGATTTTATCAAATTTTGTTTGGAAGGAAAATTTGTTATGCTTGTTCGATAAAAATAGGTAAATTTTCGATTTTTCTAAAAATTTGCTGTAAAGTGAGCAAACAAGTCGTCAATAAAAATAATAACAATTCTCTGCTTGAATTGTTTGAATCATATTCATGAATACGTCGACTTGCTGCAACACAAAACGCTAAATTGGGCACATTTTTTTAGTGCTATTGTTTAACCAGCAAATAGTCGGAGTACTATAGAAAATTTTTTTCTCTGAATTTTTTTTGCATGAATTCTTGTGAAGACATGGCTTCTCGCGATACCAATAACTAGTAACCAACATTTTCTGAATAAAAATTAGTATTGGCGAGTGTTCATTTAAAATTATTGTGTTCAGAAAATAAAAAACACCTCTTATATTTCGAATCGCTATGAATATATTCGATTATTCAGCAGTCGAAATAATTATCATCTTATAGTTTGCATTTTACAGGCAAGGGCAAATGGCACGACTATCGTTTTCAGCGTAGCTACTCGAACTTTAATTCTGGAATGGGAAATAAAGTTATTTAGCATTATAAATCTGAATGGTGCTCGAGGCTCACCTATAGTTTCTTCTCTCTAAGCGATTGCCAGTAAAGCAGAAATGATAATGGAAACGATAACTTTTGCCCAATTAAGTTTGCTGTGAAATATTCTGAGGCTATTTTATTGCTATTAGAATTTTTTAAAATCATTTTTTTTATTTATCTAAAATTTGAAAGAAAATTGCGTTAATGTCGCTGACGCAATTTAAACGCCAAATTTAACTCTCAACAGCGACGCCAGGAAAAGCAATTTTATTATATTTGCACTTTGGTTATTATAATATATTTGGTTCCGAACAGAAATTTTTTTTCGAGGCTTTTATCCACGGCTGAGTAAATTCGTGGGTATCGCATAAAAATAGCAAAATAATAAACGATTTACACAAAAGGCTTTTTTCTTTCTTCTTTTTTTAACTTTATATTTTTTATTTATAAAAAATGTAAATTTTTCCGATTTAAGAGAAGCAATGCGAAGATACCAACGAAGGATGGCCAAAGTATGGCATAACAATAAGGCCAGCATGCGACCTAATAAATTTTATGGCGCCGCTAGAGATCTCAGTAGACGGTAAACAGCGGGCAACAAGCATTTAAAATATGCATACATATGAGTAGATAGATATATTGAAGGCCTTTAGTGTGCTCAAATATGAACAGAACACGAATCAATGGGCGAGAAATGTGAAATCAACAATCCGATGAAGCAGAGGTTCCACGTAAGATGACCTTATAAGGCCAAACATTAGTCAAAGAATGAATGTATCCTTTATATTTTCATTGAGTTTAAATTTCTTCATTTTTATTTATAACATCTTTCATTGTTGTGTACAATAGATGATAATAGGTAAGAGTTTTCACAAATATTCTGTAAAAATTATCCGAATTTCAAATGAAAATTCAATTAACCAAATTTTGAGGGTATGATGAATGATAAAATGCCATAATTTTTTATATGTTCTCGGCAGAGATAAATTTGCACTCCGCAGTATCTTTCTTGTGATAAAATTACTGATCATATCTTTTATTGATAAAATTCTGTCCCCTTATAGAAATATAATCGAAAATAACGTACTTGAAATGAAAATCTAATGCATTATTTGAAGGAAGTGCTATACGAGAGAGAGAAATTTATATAATTTATATATATTTTGAATTTAACTTGAAATTATCCATATGGGAAAAAATTTATTAATTTTATTATTAATTTTATTAAATTATCATTATTATCCAAAATTTCATTATTAAATTCATTAATTCATTGTTTATTATATATTTTTATTTTTTTATAACATTTTAAAGTTCAAAAAGTAAGTTTGTTCATCAAAAATGCAGATGATGTTTGCTTGTATTTCTCTTGCCAAGTGACAATGTGGAAAAATTTAAAATTTCTTTTTAGCATTTTCTATTATCTAAAGAAACATTTATAAAATAGGTGGCATTTTTTTGCAATATTTTAATTCCTAGTGATTTATTTAAAAATCATTGCCGAACGGCAAATCTTACCGTAGATTTTTCATCTAAATTTTTCTAAAGATTTCACTTAATTTCACATAATTTTTTTTAGCGAAGATCCTTGCTAAATTCCTCAAATTATTATAAAATTTCTTTTGTTGGAGCATTGGCGATTTATTGAAGGTGACAGATTCAAATTATATAATTATAGAATTAACCCCAATGGAAATGAGCACTCTTTTAAAAAGAAATCATAATTAGCTTCTTCGCATTAGCACTTTTAGCACGAAAAAATTTTTGATTTGTATTTCGGTCAAATTTATAATTTGTAATATAACATTAAATAAAAATGATTAAACGAGAAGCAATAATTATATTAATAATAATAAAAATAATTATTTAATTAAAATAATTATAATTATATATAATTAATAATTAAATAATAGAAGGATAGGCCACATCATAAATGCAATAAATTGCAGACAATACGTATAATAATATTATTGCTAATTTAATTTGTATTTATTGTTTTTATTAGGCAGAAAATGGACAAAAATTTTTTAGAAAATATTTAGTAAGTGGTAATTTCATGACGATCAGCACTGACGACATATTTGCCTTTCGTTTACATAGCCTTTTCACCAGATGATGCTGATTACGCTATTTACTTCTTTTCTTTTCTCTTGCCAAATGGCTCTCTGGCAAAGTTTTTAGCAAATAAGCTGAACAAGCATTATTAGATAAATGAGCGTTCTTCTAGAAATAAATGATTAAATTCATAGCGGAAGCACTTAAAGCATGAAAAAATTTTATTTCTTGTATTTCAGTATAAAATTTAATAATGACAATAATAATATTAATAGTAATTATAATAATAGAATTATATAATTATAATAATAATAGAAAAATAGAATCTGCAGTAAATTCCATAGGTTTTACATAGAAATATAATATAATATTTGATAATATTATTTGTAATATTTATTATATTTATTAGATCAAAAATGGAAAATAATTTTTTAGAGATTGCCTAGTAAGGAATTTTTTATGTCGATCAGCAATGACCACAAGTTTGCCTACATTGCCTTCGCATCACAGTTCCATAATCACCGATATTGCAAAGATTCCGATATAACGCACAGTTAACGCGTGCATCAGTGCAACCACTGGATTGCGAAACTGCTGCTGAAAATCAAAATCATTTTTTCAGTAACTTTATTCGAATAAAGTCGTTGGCTTAATTCAGCAGTGTCATATATGGTGAAGAAATTAATTTCAGTGATAATAATTTACTGATAATACCAATTTTTTACCATTCTGAATCTAAGTGAAAAGAAAAAAATGGAACAGTAAAAACATTCTTGCGACTCACATGTGAGATTTTGAAGACAATCCTTTGAAAAACACGTTCTCTGGCACATAATTCTAATCGAATCAATATGACAAAATATCCTCAAGTTTTCACATCCATCAATGGTGTCTGGACATTCACCGCCAGCACCAGGCTTATCGCAGAGACCGCATGTATGCGGGCACATTTCTAATGCAATTTTGCTAAGAGCGGGCATCTTGCACATTTCTTGCGTAACATTATCGCATTGCCCAACTTAAAATTTCATTGCACTATAAAAATTAATTCAACTTATCGAATTTTTAAGAATATTTAGAAAAAGTTAAAACCATTTCTGCAGTTGAACTTTCTTGTTTTACAGCATGTCGCGCATGTGCGAGGACATAATTGTTCGGCTAAACGTGCCAAATTTTCCTCTTGACATTTCTCGCTTACTTTATATTCCATTGCACTTTAATGCATTTCCATCAAAAAAAGCACAATTTTTTATTAATTATTATTATTGATGATCACTTTTACACATTGTTAGATATTATGATTTCTATTATTTTTAACTAAAAATCATAATCAGTGGATTTTTCAAAAACATATAAGGAAATTCGCTTAATTAAACGATTAATATAATAAAATTTCATTACGGGTTAAGTTGCTCTGGAATTGCCTGTTCTGGCCCATCCAATTTAAATATTTCTGAACATGCTTGTGGGTTCAAATCAAGACACAAGTTTGGATCGACAGTTGGGCGCTGTATAGTTCGCATTTGAGGTGGTGCTTGTGGTTGTACTCCCACTCCTCCAGGTGGTTGTGGCACTTCAACAGCCTTGTTACATACATTAATTGGGTTATTGCCAGCAGTTACGTTGGAAATAAAGAATAAGAGGGGTAGATAAATGAAATACATGCCAGCTGTGGTTGTACCTTATTCAAATAATCAGTTTATGACTAATCTTTTTATACTCTCTTTTGTTTCCCTTTTCTTTTTACGAAATTTTCATCAATAATCAAAGTTTTCAAATATTTCCTTTTATATTCACTTTTATGTTATTTGAAATATTTGAAAAAAAGTTACTTTTCATAAAAATTATTTTTGCTCATTTCACTTTTAATTTTTATGATACTTTATAAGTTGTTTTAATATTTAAATATGAAAATGAAAATTTTGCTATGATTTCTAGAAAATATTTTATAATATTTAAAGATTTATTTATTAAAAAATTAATTTAATTTATTAAAAAATATTTTCATAAATCGCACGATACGAAAATATATCTCTTTTATTTAGTTTTATTTTAGAAAGATTTTTGTAAAAATCGTGAAATCTCTAATATTTTAACCCATCTTTCATTGATGATTCTTAATAGAGGATGAACGGTCGTCTACAGCTGAATTCCACTTCAATAGTTGGTTTTTATTGATACCCACTTATATAAATAATATCAATTTTACTATTATTTCATTTTTACTATTTATTATTGCAATTATAATTAATATTCATGGAATGCTTCCTGGAAGGATAGTACTAACGCAACAGATTTTGCCACAGTTTGCCTGGTTAATGCACTATTAAAAATCATAAATCATTTGAAGAATGCCGGAAGATATCTCATAGAATTTCTTTTCCGTTTCCGGGAATCATCAAAGTACAAATAATACAAAGAAATATTATTAAATTGCTTTTATGATTGAATTTTATTTGATTAAATTTATGCTGCAAATTTTTTAAAAAATTTAAAACAATTTCTTGATTTTAATTTTTTAATTAATTTTTTTGAGAAGCATAAAAATGTCCCAATTTTGCAACATAACCGGTTACCAGAAATGTTGAGTGAAGTGATGCGAGATGACGATGGAAACCCCATTAAGACTTTCAAAGATCTTCTTGTCCTATGGAAAGGAAATTAAAACCTAAATTAGACGTGCCCTATAGCAAATTGGATATCAAGCACGAGATTACTTCGCTAATTTCCAAAGACCAATGAAACACTCTGAGATGGTTAGCATGCTGAAATCTCCCAGCGTTCTTCACAATGCACCTGCAGATTATATTATATTTGCTGATGTGAGAGACGAAGCAAATGCCATCTGGAAACAAGAGAATTCTACTCTAAGGTACCAAGCAAGGTGAAAAGGTTCAATATAAGAATTATGCATGGCTATCATGGCTAAAGCGGAACGTGCAAAGATGGATTTAGACTAGGACATGACTGTGGTGATTAAATTGTCGCAGTGAGAAAGATATTAGGATATCGTTTCAATTAGCGACAATGCTCCTTTATTTATTCCTTCTTCTTCGCTATTGCTTTTGGTTCGATGAACAGGGTATTGCGCTTGCAAGTTATGTAACGCAGCCGTGTTCAAGACTTAATCTTATCAAAACTTTTTATCAATATATATCAGTAGCCCAAATAGACACTTTTCGAAACTGAATTTTAAAAATCTCGCACTTCACTCGTTCTCTCATTTTCTCTCTCTCTCTCACTCTCATACTTAACGACCATACAAGTGGAATTCCAGCTCGCAAGACATATTCTTTCGCCTGGCGGAATTTCTCGAAGGAATAAGACATAATCTTGGTCGAAACAAAGGAACATTTGTCCTTTAGCAGAAAAGAAGTAATACTTAGTGCTCACCACATCAAAATAACTTCAAAGGTTCTTTATTCAACTGAAATTGTTTGCCAGAGGATCACATTTACTATGAAAGTACTTTGGTTAAATTATTTCCATAATTATATATTCCTTCATATATTCAAAGATATCTCCAGAATATCAAGAGATAAGAAAATCAGCTCAATGAGAAAGGCAAAATCCACGCCATAAACGTGTACGCCTGCCAGTCATCAGGTATGTATGAAACTGTCATCGAAAAAATCACCTGGCACAAAAAAAGCTCCAACAGCAGAGTGAAGGCAATCAGAAATAAGCACTCTTCAAAATAAATTTCAATTTATTCGCAGAAGCAATTTAATTTCGAAAAATTTTTTGGTCTTTGTATTTCATCGATCATATTTATTATTTATTGTGCATAATTATGATATAATTTAGTAATATTTAACAAATAAGGAGAATTGCGGCTTAACAATAAAGAAAAAGTTCACGATGATAATAATTAGATTGAATAATTCAACATATTATACAGTTATCGGGCAGAAAATGGATTAAGAAAGCGCAAATGTTAAACCCCTATCAGCAATGGCGACAAGTTTGTCTACACTTTCTTCTCATTTCAATTTCATAATCACCGATGTTGCAAAGATTCTGGTATACCGTGCAATTAGCGTGTGCATCAGTGCAACCACTGGATTGCGAAGCTGCTGCTGAAAAGCAAAAACGTTTTTCTAGTAGAATAAATCGAGTATAGTCATTTGCTTAATTCACCAATGTCATACATGAGGAAGAAATGCAATTAATTTCAGTAATATCAATTTTTTGGCAGTATCAGTATTTTTTGCCCTTATGAATCTAAATGAAAGGGAAAATAACAGGACAATAAAAATCCTTAAAAATCCTCACTTGTGAGGTTTTGAAGACAAGCCCTCGAAAAACACGTCATCTGGCACATACTTCTAATCGAATCAACATGACAAAATATCCTTAGGCTTTCACACCCATCAATGGTGTCTGGACATTCACCGCAAGCACCAGGCTTGTCACAATACTGTATGTGGGCACATTTCTAATGCAATTTTGCTAAGAGTAGGCATTCTGCACATTTCTTGCGTGAAATTATCGCATTATGCAACTGAAACTTTTTAATATATTTAATATATATAAGAGAATGTTACTTGGCATAATTTGATTCATGTGATTTGAAATTGAAATTGCTTTTAAAACCATTTTTGCAGTTGAATTTTCTTGTTTTGCAGCATGTTGCACATGTACGAGGACATAATTGTTCGGCTACGCGCGTATAATTTGTTTCTTGACATTTTTGGCTTACTTTATACTCCACAGCACTGAAATAATGTATTTCCATAGAAAAAACCAATAGTTTTTATTATAGAAGAAATTCTCTACCTTTGACCACAAATGTCTAAATACAGGTTTTAGGTACAATTACAGATTTTACGGGTTCGCTGAATGCATAAACATGATCGCATCCACCTTCGTTCAAATACTGTATGCATTAATAGAACTATGATAGAGCGCGGTCTTCGCTGTTTAGGGCAGGTTCTTCTTTGCCAGCCCAGAAGAGTTGATATATTTCGTTACTTGCTGATAAATCTTGTGATGAGTGGTTTCAATCAAGACCTGGATTGATACAGTCAGGAAAGAATTTTGAACATATAAGTGGATCTGCGATATATGGTCTTAGACAATGGAAAAGGGAATAGCTTTTATTACTACTAGCATTGGCGTCGGATCGAGCAGCTTAGAAAAGTCTTACCCTTGTAGTCGTTGTGCCAACCTAACCAGTAATGGTGAGAGCTGTTGGAAGAAGAAGAAGACGTTGTATAGTTTGCAAGCCCTGCTGTCCTGGCGGTGCTGGTACTTGAACTGTTTTGTTTGCAGACACTGATTGGCATATCTCCAGCGCTTACACAAGAAATAAACAATAAGGAAGACAGATAGATGAAATACATGGCGAGCCTTGACTGTTCTTAACTGAAATAGTCAATATAGCAATTTTAGTAACTTATGTTCTATTTTATTTGCTTTCACATGAAATTCCCATCATTTTTTTCTTTTCAATTTCTTAAATTTTCATCAGATACCGAAAATCAAAATTTTCAAATATTTGCTTAATTCGTTGATTTTTGAAAATTTTGATGAAAAACTTGAAAAAAAATTTTTTATTAGAAATTTTTTTACCATTCACGATTTATTATTTCCTACTGCTTTAGTATTTTTTTATCATTTGCTGTCATTTTTTTCAAATTTATTATTTAATTACAAAAATATTTAATTGTAAAAATTAAAAATTTGCGATGATTTAGAAACTTTTGATAATTTTCGCAATTTACGCAGTGCAAAAAGCATCTCAATGATTTTTAATTATTTTAATTTTAGAAAATTTATTCATTTTATTCAAATTAATTCATTTTTTTGTCGAAGGTAATAGACTCACCCATTACGAGCTGAATCGAATCCGTTGAATCGTTATTCTACAAAAAATTTATTAATAATTTTTTATAGCGATATTTCACTAATATAATTATTATAAATATTATTAATTTTAATATTACCATTATTATATTTATAGAAATTTAATAATAATAATAATAGTAATAATAATAATAAATTCGTGAAATACTTCCTGTTTATAATGTTTTTTAATAATTGCAGATTATGCACTATTAAAAATCATTAATCATTTGTCGAAAACTGGAAGCTTTCTTAAATTTGTTTGTTAAATTGTTGAATTAAATTTATAAATTCGTATGTAAGTAAATTTAAATTTGTTTCCGGAAATCGTCGAAATGGGAATAATGCATAAAAAATTTAATTATTATTGTTTATTATTAAATATTTGAATTTTTCAATAATTTCTCAAATGATTTAATTAATTCTTTATTAAATTGGGATATAATATAATTGAGATAACAAAAAAAAATTGAAATTCATCCAAATTTCATCACATTCTCTCGTAGCTATGTGGTACTTTATAAAGTGCATCCAGCAGTAGAGAAGCGAAAATTTGATATAATGCATTGTGACTGGCTTTAAAGAATTCTTTTCTCCTTACAAGGCAATGCTTAATAGTCTTAATAGGTACACTATTGCTGTCCAGTACCATTTCATTGACCACTCCCAGAATTATAGATACTATGAACAAGACAGAATAGTTTTTTATTTATGTCTAACCAAGCAGCCGACTCTATTCTCAAAAGCATTTTGCAAGTATTCTATTAGTTGACCAGTCATCCGTCATTCTAAAGATATCACTGGTACTTTCACTGCG